AACACTTGAAGCAATTTAGATATCAATCTTCTTGTTACCCTCTCTCTCTCTCTCTCTCTCTCTCTCTCTCTCTCTCTCTCTCTCTCTCTCTCTCTCTCTCTTTTTCTATCTTTCTTCCTTTTTTTATTTATTTTTCTTTCTTTTCCCTTAACACGTACTTTTACTAACGATTACATTTATCAACGAATTTTCTTGACTAACTAACTATCTCTCTCTCTCTCTTTCTTAAAAGATATTATATTTGTTTAATTCTCAACGAGAAAGAACTACCAAATTTCCAAAATGATGATCACGTGGAAGAATCCTTCAGCATCATTGGTACTCTTCTTCGGGTTCTTCGACGATGACCTTGAAGATGCGCCTCGTTAACTTTCACCATGGCAACGAAGGTGCCGACGAGGAACGGGATAGTCAATGTCATCCACGTTGCAACAACTTGATTAGTATTCTTTTCTAGCATTTCGAACAAATTCAATTTATTTTTGTCCTTAATTATTCGAAATTAATAAATATAGATGAGGAAGAAGAAGAAGAAGAAGATGAAGGAAAGAAACGGAAAGAAAAAAATAAATAAAATTGAATTAGAATACAAAATATAAAACTGTGCCGAATTTTGTATTAATTAATGCATATATAAAATGTAGAAAAGAAAAAATAATAAAAATTCGGGTTCATGTGGATCATTTCTTCGATAAGGAAAATATAACATTTTGTTAATTATTATTTTTTGTTCTTATTTTGGAATCGTAGTCATGACTCGCAAACTTTCGATAGTTAGCAACGATAATAAGGAGTATTTACTTAGAGACGATGACTGCACATGGTAGTCACAATGGATATCGTTTCACTTCGATACACGGTTTACATATCGATGCAATAACTATCGGTTGGAAGGTTGGTAAGTTCTCGAAACCTGTTACGTGTACTCTTCTGATGCATCTCCGTTTACAATAATGCACTAACGCGTACACGTAATATATATATATATATATACGTAAATCTACATACTGTAAGATGTATCCATTATAATCTGTTTATTCAATTAATTTTCTAATAAATAATCAATGAAAATAAAAATATATAAAATAACGATTAATTTGTTTTAATCATATTTAATCCGATTAAATAGATATAGATTTTGTTAATCAAATTCATCAACAATTACAAGTTCTAAAATATAGTATATATATTGCAAAAAGAAATAGGATGAATTTTATTCGCAAAAGGATTGAATTTAAATTACGAAACTTATACAAATAATAATATAATTCGTAACATTTCTCGACGTATGTGTAACGTACGTTTAAATGTTAAAAAAAAAAAAAAAAACAAGGGGATAATTAAAAGTGATTATGCGAACAGGATCGAAGTACCAGAGTTTCGATGGAATGCAAAAAGAGAGCGGTAGAACTGAGTTAGAGCAGATGGGATTAGATCGGTGATGATAGAGGAAAGAGAGAGTTAATCTTAGTTGTTCGAGAGAGTTTCTGTACAGAAGCGGATGTAAATTGAAATAAGAGCAAAGAATTTTATCAACCAGAGATTTTTCGCTTTGCCGTAATCATTAAATTATTCTACATATATATATATTAGTTTATAGATTGTCTAGACAATGTACAGATTAACTAGGGTGATCCGTTAAAGTATCGAAAATTGTTTCATTTCTCAAATTATCTAGGTAATCTAAATAATTTGCACATTATCTACTAGATACTCGTTAAAGTGAAAATAAAATCTTTGGATGGAACAACAGCAATTTTTCTGTATAACCTTAAATTAACATAATGTTATTTATTTATTTTTCTATATCTAAAGAATCAAATTAATATGATCGAAAAATTAATCAACAAAATTAGTTGATAGAATTAATCAATTAAAAAATTATAATGAAACGTATCAAAAGATTTAAAATATTATTACACTTAAGGAGATGAATTTGTAAAACGTATATATATATATATATATGAAAAAATTATATTTACTTATTAGTCAGAGATTGCAATGCTGTAAATTGTGCATCTTAGCAATTTCTTTGAAAAGTTTTGGTAAATATTTTTAATACTAAAATTGAATAGATTTTAATGAAAGTTATATTAAATTAAAGTAAACTCTATTGTCTTTGCATTGATGAGAATGCCAAGGAATTACCAGCAATGGCGGATTTCTGGTTCTATGACGGTAACATATATATATATTTATTTATTATTTGTTTTCTCTTCTAATGATCCACAAATTTAAGATGCAAACGACATAACAACTGACTCTTATCTTTTCGTAATTTCGGTTCATCGACACAGAACAAAATAATAAATATTTTTTATTAGCGTATTACGTTTATCTTTTCCATTTTTCTTCTTCTTCTCATCTCTAGAATCTGTCCTTTATTTTTATTAACTTCTTTCTTTTTCTTTCCGTCCAACCAGGAAAGTAAAAAAAAACATAAAAGGCAACTTTCTTGTGTGTTTGTTAACAAGGGGTATAATAAAATTATGCAAGAGGCTCTCTCGAAGAATCACATAATCACGTGTAGGGGTCCATATAAATGATCTTGAATCCCGGTTGACCTCGATATTGTCAAGGTTGTATTATAGGAACAACAACGTTAGGACAAAATTTTCCTACGTGTTTTTTTTTTTCATCTTTCTTTGTTAAAATAGATATCGAAGTCTTTACCGACCTTGTAATTATCAAGGTTCCTATTATTCTATAAACGTCGTGTGCACGCACTCACGGTTACGATAGAAAAATATGGTTGTTTTTTTTCTAGTTTTTTTTTTTCTTTCTATTTTTTCCTTCTTCCTTTTTCTTTTTTCTTTTCTCCTATATTTATTTTTAAATGAAAATTTTCTGAATCTCCGTTACGAGATGAATAATGATAAATGAATCGTTACGAGATAAGGATCGTTTCTCTTTGAGTAATGTAAATTTATTTGTATGTATGTACATACACACGAGTATTTACATTGTATATATATTTAAAACGATGCACGCGATGAACGCCAAGAAACGAAAAGAAAAAAAAAAAGGATGCAAC